CCAGGGCTGCCCTTGCTTAGCTTCCGAGATCTTTCTTTTAAAAAAATAATTTTTTATTGAGAATATTGTACCATAGCTATGAAGGATAGTATAAGAATAATATCAAACACAGTTAAATAGAAATATTAACAAGACATACTAATATAATGTGTAGTACAAGGTGTAAGATAATGAAAGCCAAATACATTAAACAGTCACTATCCAATAAGAAATTTTGCAAGCTTGACATATCATAAGAATGAAACAATTTACGTCTAAAGAGTAAGAGGGTTAATAACAGATTACTGTATTTTTATTTTTTTATTTATATGCCAATAAAAGGCTTTGGATGGATGGTTAATAACCCAACCGTGAGTAACCTTCGGAATACTGAAAACAAATAAGCAAAAACAAACATCGTAATTCCAATCTGATAGGAAGCAAATCGACAGAGCATTATGAAGCTACAAATACAAAGCTAGCTAACACTCAAGACAGAGGTTGTTATACTGGCCAACATGTAGTGTAAAGAGGGGCCTAAAGGAACAAAAGTAGACTAATAATGACCCGAATAAATAATAAATAATTAACTGAACTAACAAGTTATACTCAATGTAATAATTCAGGGCTCTTTTTGTAGCAGGAACCCCTTTGCATATTAGGTGACACTGTAAGAAGAGCTCTGTAAGCTCTTGGAGGATTGGCTACATTAGGGGTGTGTGGCCTAATATGCAAAGGAGTTCCTGCTACAAAAAGAGCCCTGATGGCAGACAACAAAGTAAGCTCAATTGTCTTACATTCAGTTTTGTAGTTGAGACCATTCTGTGGATATGAATTGATTCTGTGTTAGGAAAATCAATATTGGAGACCATTTTGTGTTAAAAGACAATTGTTTGGGATTGGGCACATATGAATTTAGTTTGTCAGTAACATAATCCATAAAATAAAGGTCCCATAGTTTGTGAAACCAGAGTCTTACAGTTGGCGATTTATTTTCTTTCCACAAGGAAGCAATTGCTGATATGGCAGCAAACAGCATCATGTCTATCGTGGCCTTACAGTGATGGGTACCTATATTGTCAGGCCAGTGATCTAAAAAAAGTATTTCTGGTTTAAGGGGGATATTTACTTTAGCAATTGATTCAATATGGGATAGAACTTCTCTCCAGAAACCTTTAATTTTGTCACAACTTCACCAGCAATGAGCAAAAGTGCCCAATTGGGGACAACCTTTCCAACAGTATGGAGATTGTGAAGCAGATGTAAAAGAGAGTTTGTGTGGGGTGATGTACCAACGTGAGATGTTTTGCCAAAGCAGATGTGAAGATCTTTAGGTCCTGATTTAAAAGGGATATGGGTCTGTAGGATGCTGGAGATAAAGGGTCTTTATCCTTATTTGGTATCACAACGATTGAGGCCTGAATCCATGAAGGGGGTACGTTTCCAGTGTCTAAGATGTGATTACATGTGGAAGTCAAAGGGCCTACTAAGGAGGGAGCAAAACATTTATAAAATTCAGAGGGAAAGCCATCCAGACCAGGTATTTTATTACTTTTTTTTTTTAAATTCCAGTCTTTATTAAACACAAACACAAACAACCCCTCACCCAAAAAATACAACAGACAACATATAGTACCCCACATAAAAGCGGATCCTTCCTTTGTACAGTCTAAAGTATAACTATACAATTATTTACCAAGGTTAATTAAGTTAAGTGTTCAATTCGATCCATTTATAAACATTTGACCATTTTTTTGGAAAAGCTGAGTTCATGTTTCCGTGGATTTTATGTGTTAAATGATCCATTTCGATCAATCGCTTTCTTAACAAAGTCCCATCTATCTGGCAACTTTTCACTTTTCCAATACTTAGCTAATGTTATTCTTGCTGCTGCAAGCAAATGAGTCATCACATATTTTTCCCCCTTTTCCCAACTTTCGGGTAATATACTTAGCAAAAAGATTTCAGGATCTAGCGGTAATTGTAACTTCGTTGACTGAGTTAATATCATGTGGACCTCCTTCCAATATCTATTTACCTCCTTGCATGTCCACCAAGCATGGTAAAACGAACCTACTTGTGATTTACATTTCCAACATAGATTACTTATCCCTGGATAAAAACGTGCTAACCTATCTGGCGTTAGATGCCAGCGGTGTCCCATCTTGAAAACGTCCTCTTTCAATGGTACAGCTTTGAGCCATCTTACATTTTGCCATATCCTCTCCCATTTGTTTGCATCAATATTCTTTCCTATGTTTTTGGCCCAGGCCGTCATTGCCGTCTTATTACTTTCCCCTTTCATCTTGTCATCTAATAGCAAAGCATATATCTTCCGTATCAGTTTAGAATCTGGGCCTAATACTATTTTATGGTATTTTATTACTTTTGAGTGATTTGATAGTGATCAGAATTTCCTGTTCCGAGAATGGCTTTTCTAACATAGAACTATGTGTTTCTTGTAAGGTAACCTAGGCATGATAGTTATGCAAAAAAGGATGTAACAACATTGACTTATCAGCTGTTGAAGAGTATAAGGTTTGGTAGTAATCTTCAAAGGCTTTTGCAAGATAGATTCCGCTTTAGTTAGGACGTCTCCATGAATATACTTTTTTTTAAATAATAATTTTTATTATTTTTAACAGACATCCAAACAAACAAAACATACATGAGAGTATTAACAACATCTTCGTTTCTCTTAAAACACCTCGTACATATGTATCTAATTATCAAATTTCCACCTCCCAAAATTTTTGCAAGCCTATATTTAATAAGCTAATATTTTATCTAACTCGTTCCATCATTATGGCTCTTAAAAATGCACAGATGCACAGATCTAGAATTTTGCAAGTCTATTAATTAACAAAACATATTTCCTTCTATTACTATATTGTCTGAGCATTCTATAATAATCTTCTAAAAATATATTTAACTATTAACTAAATTTATACGATTCCCCAGCTTCATAGTCACATACTTTCTTTTTCTATATATTCTAAATTCTACAACATAACTATCACATTACATTCTTTAAGATTTTAATAATACTCTGTCTTTTCAAAGAGTTTTCTAAACCTACATATATTACCTATATATTCTTCCCCAGTTCTACGGCCTCCTGGGATCCTTAAACCAATCTTATTTATATATTTAATTAACACTTTTCAATATACTTCTCTGACCTACAGATTCATACTTGTTCTATAATACCATCTATTCTATAACTTTTTGAATTACTACAATTAGTATAAAGCAAAACATTCAATGAGATTCAGTGATTACTTAGTTACATATGTCTAAAGATTCCCTAGCCTGAACAGAAATCTTATTTAAGGATTAATATAAAACAAAAAGTTCAATGGTAGTCAATGTTACTCAGTTATATGTGGCTACAAATTCCCTAGCCCATCTTATTCAGTTACATATAAACAAAAATCCCCTATCCAGTCTTATTCATAAAGCTTAATTTTTTTCTTCTTTTTGTAACTTCTCATCTTCAGTAAGGTCATAATTCTATGCCTCTTCCACTTAAAGGTAGAAAAGATTTCTTTTAAGCATCGCCAACTATAGTAAATGTTTAATGTAGTTAAGGATTCCATAAATTCTGTTTCATCTTCTCTCTGGGATGTTTTCTCTTTCGTAACTATTCCAAATTTTAGCAAACTTTTAGTAGATCTGTTATATTCCTTGTAGGTTAAATCAGCTTGAATATAGTGTTGTTTTAGGTCTTGGCCAGTTTGGTATTTAAATTCCATTTCTCTGTGGATTAAGTCATCTTGATAGAAGTGTTGTTCTTCCTCTTAGACTAATTTTTGCTGAGATGCCTTTATATTACATGTAGCTTGACTTGGTATGATTTCTTTTTTATCCAGTGTTGTCTTTAAAGCCTGGAAATTTTGAAGCCATGGGGAAAAGAAATTTTGGGGAAGACTGAGATATATGCAATACTTACTTTCCTATTAAATATAAACTTCTTTTACTTATTTAAGAACACAAAATACATCAGTTGTAACTTAGTTAGCATATATAATTGTATGACTTGGCATATTCATGGAATTTAAAATTGTAAATGTGTTTGTTTTCTACAAGAAAAATGGCAAGTATGCCCAGTACCTGAGAAGTAGCTGTGTGCTATTGTGCTATTGTGCTGTCATAGTGTATGTATCTTTAATTTTTGCTGTCTGAGAGGCAGGGGAAACAAGCAGAAGAGAGTGTATTATTTGAACAGAAACTCACTAGTAGGTATGACTACCAGGATGTTTGAAATTTAAGCTGAACATGGAAAATATTGAACCCTTTAATCATGTATTATTTTTAAACTCATTAGCATATATATTAATTGTTACCAAAGATATTTACATTTATGCCCCTCCAAAATCTTGAAAATGTCATATAAGCCCACAGTATAAATGGATTTTTTTTGGTAGTTCCAGAAATCTCCGAATTGGAAATTTCCACTGGAAAAATTAAGAGCGTCCTCAGACTTTTTCATGCTGTGCATCTGGAAAATATAAGATGCTTTGTAAGATAAGGAAGAGAAAATGTTTCATAAGAGGTTTTTCATTGCTTCCCCAAACTTTCCAATTGTTTGACTGGAAATTTTCCACTGGAAAAAATGTAAAAAGTCCCCAGACTTTTTCGTGCTATACATTTGGAGTGTGAAAACCCTTGCTTTAAGAATGGACTCATTCTAAAAGAAAAAAAATATTTCAAAAGAGTCTTTTTTCCCATCACTCCCTGAAATTTTCTGATTTTTCTGTTGGAAAAATGGAAACTGTGTCCTCAGAAGAAAATGGGGGGGATTTTTTGTGTGTGTAGCTCTGCTCTTAACATCTCTCGTCAGAAGTCCTTTGATCACTTGAAAGAGTTATGCAGATGCCGAAAATTACTATTGTGGAATAGGCACTAAGAAAGCCGTAATGGACCTGGGACAAGAGATGAGGTCTGAACGAGAGAGAAAGTTCCCTGGGGTGGAGTTTTCCCCTGTTTTGACTGTGCAGTTCTAACGCTTCCTTTCACAGAAGAGCACCCAGACCGGGGTGATCTCCACGACAGAAGCCGTGACCCAGTCCTGCTGCTTCCAAGAGGCTGGCGTGCAGACAGATGTGGGTGGAGAGAACCTCCGAGCCGCAGGGCTTCCGCCAGCCCCGCCCGTGGATTACGCCGGTCTGCTCTCCTTCCTGCAGAACGTGGAAGAGACAGTCATCAGGGAGCTCAATAAGAACTGGAGAAGCCACGCCTTCGATGGCTTTGAAGTGAATTGGCTGGACCAGAACGAAACGGTAAAGCCCCGCTGATGCTGGGGGCGATGCTGAGGTCAGAGGTTGTTGTCCCCTCACTCCGTCTTCCTGGCGCAATTGACTTTTCAATAGAAAAAATGCTTTGGCACACACCCTGCTCCCCTTCCCCTCGGAGCTCCCTCTGCAAGGGAGGGCAGGACGTGGCGAGGCTAAATCCTCTTCTGGCTGGACCCCAAGCAGGGCCAGATCCTTTCCCCCCTTCTGGCTGCTCTTGTGTGGAAAGACAGGATGGGCAAAAGGAAACAGGACTGATGTCAGAACTCCTGTGGGAGGGCTTGTTCTGGCTGCCTTTCATCTGCTCTAAGCTGATGGCAAAGGGCAGGTGGGAAATTGTGGCGTAGTAGTTAACAAGTGTGCGACTAAACACTGGGTTCAAATTTGTGCTCTGCCAGGAAACGTTTTGCTGACCTTCAGCCAATCACTGTCTCTCTTCACTTTGCCTACCTCACAGGGTTGTTGTGAGAGATAAAATGGGGAAGGGAGAACAGTTTACACAGCCTTGAGCTCCTCGGAGGAAAGGGAAGCTTATACATTGCTGAAGCTGCAGCACTGGGCATGGAAGAGCGCGCAGGGTGGAGTTCTCTCTCGCTACTTCTGATGCTCGGATCAAAACTGAGCCTTCAGCTGCGCCACTGAAGTAGGGGGGAAAGAAAGAAGATAGCTTTAAAAGGGGGGGATTGGACAGATTCAGGGAGGAGAGGTCTATTGGTGGCTACTGGCCATGGTGGGTAAAGGGAACCTCCACCTTCAGAGGCAATAACCCTCTGAATACGAGTGCCGGGAGGCATCGAGGAAGTCCTCGGCCTCTCTTGCCCTGTTTGTTGGTCCGCCAAAGAAACTGGTTGGCCACTGTGTGAGACAAGATGCTGGACTAGATGGACCACGGTTTGGTCCAGCAAGGGCTCTTCTGATGTTATTATTCACCACATCACACACATTTTGCTCCTGTCAGCGTTCAAATTGCTCATGCAATTGTCATATTCTTCCTAGTGCAATTAGTACGTCTTGGGTGCGGTCAGACGGTGTGCCGAAGCGGTTTAAACTGTTCTGGTTCTAATCGGATTATATTTGATCCGGGACAAGTGTGATCACACTTACCTCCCTCACCGTGCAGCATATCGCTCCCGGGTGTCTACACTACCGGTGCGCAGCCGTGCGCATCGGCAGGGTTTTTTTCCACTGCTTGCGCATGCGCATAGACACCCATCCATATAATTGAAATCTTCACGCCAAAACCATGCCCTGAAGTGAACACTTCCCTTTAAACTTTTACAATGAAACTGGCCTCCGTGAAGTCCCGGACTCGTCTAAAGCCTAAAACTAAGCACCGTTTTTTAATTAGTTTTATTAACGCCGGGGCGAAGCTTTGTCCAAGTGCATATCGCCGATGCTAAAATAAAATGGCGGACGAAAAGTGGAAGCCTCGGGCTTCCGAGCAGAAGTGGCTCTACACCGGCGGAGGCGCGAATCACACATCAGGAAAATGCGGCTGGAACCGGAGCACCAGGAAACCACCACTTGGGGACCTGGTAGCAAAACACTCCGGTTTAAAGGGGGGTTTGAGCCGGTTGGCAATGGCTAGGGATGGGAGGCAGATATTGGCTGTGTGATCGCGCGTAAATAGTCCGTTTCTAACCGGCACGTATACCGGCTCAAATGGCCCGTCTGAACGCACCCCTTTATAACTTCTTGGCATGCATACTCACATGATCCCACAGCAATTTATTTTTAATTTGTTTAACTCTTTACAATAAGGTCCTGTCCTACTGATGTGGTTCTTCAGGTGTTTCTCCAGGCTGTTCCGGTCCAGCCACAAGAGAGTTTATCCCAGGTTCAGCCGTACCAGAGACCTCCCGCGAGTCTGTAGTCTTCTGAGACCGCAGTGGGCCCACTACTCCTGTGCTGGAGCCAGGGGCTAGCCCTCTGAGTTCTTTCTTTTTTTTTTTTTTTTTTTTTTAGGAGGGGCTGTGGCTCAGTAGTTTGCATGAGATACTGGTCCCTGGCGGCATCCCTGGTGTCTCCACTGTATGGATTGCAGAAAGTGGGCTCTTTGCCTGCGGGGAGCCACTGGTGGTCAGACTCAAGGGAGGGGCCAGTTCCTGCAGCCTCAGCCTCTTCCTTTGTCTTGCCCGGCCAGCACTGCTTATCCTTTTCCTCGGTCAGAGCCAGCGAGGTGTCGTGGTTAAGAGGGGCGGACTCCAAGCCGGAGGGCCGGGTTTGATCCCCACCTCCTCCTCCACATGAAGCCTGCTGGGTGGACTCGGGCCAGTCACGGTTCTCTCGGAACTCTCTCAGCCCCACCAGCCTCACAAGGTGTCTGTTGCAGGGCGCGGAAGGGGAGGCGATTGAATACCGCTTTGAGACTCCTTAAAAGGTAGAGAAAAGCAGGGTACAAGAATCAACTCCTCTTCTCCTCTTTCCTCTGCAGTTCTGCCTGCCTGCAATCTTGAGCTAGCCTGGCTCAGGACTGCCGTCCCAGCAACTTGCCAGACCCCTCCTGGGAGGGCCGCAGGGGCTTTCTTGCCGCAGACCTGGAGACTCTGTTGTCTAGGGAGCCATTCCCTACAACGGATGCTGTGTCTGGGCTGGGTGACCTCGTCTTTGAAAGTCCAGGGTCCAGAGGTGTGCTCCCTTAGACAATCTTGCTCTTCCTTTTGCAGTCAACACGGCACACGGTTGTGCCTCCAGGCTGCCGTGCAGGGCTCTTTTTGTAACAGGAACTCCTTTGCATATTAGGCCACACCCCCTAATGTAGCCAATCCTCCAAGAGTTTACAGAGCTCTTCTTACAAGAGCTACTGTAAGCTCTTGGAGGATTGGCTACATTAGGGGGTGTGGCCTAATATGCAAAGGAGTTCCTGTTACAAAAAGAGCCCTGCACGGCAGCCTGGAGGCACAACAGTGTGCCGTGTTGACTGCAAAAGGAAGAGCAAGATTGTCTAAGGGAGCACACCTCTGGACCCTGGACTTTCAAAGACGAGGTCACCCAGCCCAGACACAGCATCCGTTGTAGGGAATGGCTCCCTAGACAACAGAGTCTCCAGGTCTGCGGCAAGAAAGCCCCTGCGGCCCTCCCAGGAGGGGTCTGGCAAGTTGCTGGGACGGCAGTCCTGAGCCAGGCTAGCTCAAGATTGCAGGCAGGCAGAACTGCAGAGGAAAGAGGAGAAGAGGAGTTGATTCTTGTACCCTGCTTTTCTCTACCTTTTAAGGAGTCTCAAAGTGGTATTCAATCGCCTCCCCTTCCGCGCCCCGCAACAGACACCTTGTGAGGCTGGTGGGGCTGAGAGAGTTCCGAGAGAACCGTGACTGGCCCGAGGCCACCCAGCAGGCTTCATGTGGAGGAGGAGGTGGGGATCAAACCCGGTCCTCCAGCTTGGAGTCCGCCCCTCTTAACCACGACACCTCGCTGGCTCTGACCGAGGAAAAGGATAAGCAGTGCTGGCCGGGCAAGACAAAGGAAGAGGCTGAGGCTGCAGGAACTGGCCCCTCCCTTGAGTCTGACCACCAGTGGCTCCCCGCAGGCAAAGAGCCCACTTTCTGCAATCCATACAGTGGAGACACCAGGGATGCCGCCAGGGACCAGTATCTCATGCAAACTACTGAGCCACAGCCCCTCCTAAAAAAAAAAAAAAAAAAAAAGAAAGAAC